TGCAGCCGCAGCCGCAGCCGCAGCTCCATCCCCAGCCCGGAACCCGCATCCAGGTGAGGCGGCCGCGCTCCGGGCACCCGGGCTGAGGAAAGGGCTGGGAATGGAGAGGGAACTGGATGGGATGGGGAAGGGGCTGGAGAACAGAAAGAGGACGCCGGTGGGTGAGTGTCAGTGTGCGCCCCGGGATATGTGTCTCTGTTGCTCGGTGTCTGCAACTGCCTGGGTGGCCGTGTGGACGTGCGTCCGCGGCCGTGTGCCCCCTGTGTGTCAGAGTGTCCGTGCGCTTTTGAATGCCTGCACGTCCTGTGTGTGCACGTGAGCGTGTCCATGGAGTATGTTTGTGTGCATGGCCGTGTGACTCTGTCGTGTGTGTACAGACAGGCCCCGGGGCTTCGCGCCTTGCCCAGCACTCCGGTTCCGCGGGGCTGCAGGTTGCAGGGCCCCGGATAACCGAGGCGGTGGCCTCTCCTGCGTCCCCGGTTTCAAGGACGCTAGGACTCGCTGCGGCCCTGTGGCCTAGCGCTGGGGAGGGGGTAAGGCGGGAGGGGGTTCCGGTCCCGGAAGGGCGCCTTCGGTCTCAGGAGGGAGGGGAGGGGACACCAGCGTCCCTCCGGAAGGGCTGGGGTGAGAATGCGGGGCCAGCACATCCGTGCCCGTGTGTTCGCCCTCCTCAGGCCGCCAGGATGGACGTGTTCATGAAGGGCCTGTCCATGGCCAAGGAGGGCGTCGTGGCCGCCGCAGAGAAAACCAAGCAGGGGGTCACCGAGGCCGCGGAGAAGACCAAGGAGGGTGTCCTCTACGTTGGTGGGCGAGGGGCGGGGCTTCCAGGGTGCAGGGGTTTGGGTGTCCTCCGAGGGAGTGGAGCCGAGGTCCTTAGAAGGAGGGAGTGGGGGGTCTGGGCAGGAGAATATGAGTCAGCAGATGGGGCCGGGTCAGCAGGGGTCACTGAAGGCATAGCCAGTGATGGAACCTGGGCCAGTGATGAGACCGACCGGAGGGGGAATGGGGGAAAGGTTGGTGAGGGTGGGGTCCAGCTGAAAGTCCAGGGACCAATGCGGGGATCAAAGGAGATCCCCTTCTTTTCCTTATTTTTCCCATTATTAATAGTTACCTGGTGCTGAGCCCTTACTCTCTGCCAAGTACCCTGTGAAATACATCCATAACATCTATTACCTCACTTAATGCTCCCTGCCCATCCACAGACCAGGGAAACTGGGGCTTCCCAGAGGTTTAACTATCTTGGTCAAGGTCACAGCTGATAAAACCCGAAGCTGGAGTTTGAGCCAAGCTTTACGGACTCCAAAATGCCCCCTCCCCTTGCTGTGCTCCCCCCAGTATTGTTGGGGCTCCCTCCCAGCCCTCCTTTCCAGCTACTTCCACCTCTGAAGCGCTCTCTGGGTCTCCCTCCTCCCAGCGGTTCCACAACTGGCATCTCTCCTCTGGGTGCACCCTCCTTGCAGCTGACAGCTGTCATCAGGAGAAAGGCCAAGTGGTTAAAATGTCTCACCCTAAGTGGGAAAAAAGAGGGAGGCTGCAGGATCATTTGCATAAAGGGAGGCAAGAAACTGATTGAATTCTGTCTGCTGATTCAGGGCTTAACTTGTGCGGTCCGTAGAATTATCTCCTATTCAGGCTGTAGAGGGCTGGTTAACTTGCCCAGGGTTTTGGCAGACTTGGAGTTGTGATAATTCGAAAAATACTTATTGACCACCTACTATGTGCTGGTAGGCGCCGGCTCTCCTGATAGTGATGCCAAGTATTCCAGTAGTGGGATTTGACATCCAGTGGCTGGGGTGGGGGCCACTTTGGTAGGGTAAACAAAGAGGGTAGCATCTGAGCTGAGCCCAAAGAATAAGGAGGTTGGGAAGGGGGTGCAGAAAAGCAGGTGCAAAGGCCCTGGAATGGGCTGAAGGATACTGGATTCGAGAGCAGAGGGCAGAAAGCAGTGGTAGGAAGTGAGATCAGAAAGGTGGGCAAAAGCCAGTTCATGAGTGGCAATTATAATTGCCATGATAGACTGTAAGCCAGGGACCGACAGGATCTGACTTCAGTATGGAAAGGTCCCTCAGGCCTCTGGGGACAGAACAAATTGCAGGGAGGCCCGCTGGGTGGTAACACAGTCGCCAGATGAGGGTGGTTGGAGCTAGGGCAGAGGTGATGGAGACTGGGAGAAGGCTTGAGCCCACACCTGCTGGACCCCAGCTCTGGCCTCCCTCTTCCCTCCTCCCTTCTCCCTCAGCCCTTTCGCTCCTGTGGACCCCTGGCACCCCTGACACTGTGTCCTTGCTAACAGACTCGGCCCCTCCCTTTCCCCTTAGATGGGCACCTCCTACTCCTCCCCCCTGACCAGGAACTTCTGATGGCCCCCAGTTCTTACTCATCAAAGCCTCAGCTCCCTGTACCCTAGCATTCAACGTGCTTTGTGGCCCTGCCTCAGTTTCCATTGCTTCGAGCACACAGACCCCGTTGATGTGCTCCGCTCAGGCCCTGAAAACACACCTCTCTATGCCTTGCCCACAAGGTTCCCTGTGCCTGGAACACCCTCCTCAGCCTCCTTTCTGCATATCCACCTGCTCCCCATTTGTCAAGACCCAGGCAATGCCCCCTCCCCCATCACGCACCACCTGGAGGCTGGAAGTCCTCTCCCCACTGCTTGAGGTCCAGGGCACCAACTCTGCTCTTCTCTTTCCTCCATCTGACAGTGAGCCATTGGCCTGGAACCTGAATCAGAGCAGGTGCCAACAAGCATTTGTGGGAGGAATAAATGGATATGCGTGCACAACCCCTGACCCCTGCCAGCCTCTGGGTCTAACTGGACTTAGCCCTGAGAATCCTGTCTTCTTGCACCCTCCTCCTGCCAGCCTCAGCTGGCCCAGACACGCGTTTCTGGCTCTGTCAGTTGTTGTCTGGGTTGCCAAATCCTCAGGATGGGAGACAGCCCACTCCCCTGAGGGCATCTACCCCCCACCACCTCAGGTTAGGGTCTCTTGCCTTTCCCAGTCGCTACCCTCCTGGAAAGACCCAGCCAATGCCATGGGTGTCAGTCGCCACCTTCACGTCACCCTTATACACCCATTCTGCATCTAAGACCCTCCCAACTTCGGCCAGAAGGAGGGATTTGCACTCTAGTTAGAAGAGGGTCTTTAGAAGAAATGGAGCGGGGAATGTTGGGATGTGAGTGTCCTCGGGTAGGATGTGGGCAGTTATGCATCAGGGGCACCAGGGGCACCTTTCCAAATACAGAGCCTTTTTTCCCCGCCCCCAGTTCCACCCCCCTTCCACCCCCATCTGCTCCCATCCTGGGCAGAGGATTAAATGAACCGGCGCAGGTAGAGTGCTTTCCCAGTGCTGGCGCTCAGGCAACATCCACCAGAGGTGTGGGTATCATATCAGGTGGGGGTGGTAGGGGACAGAGAGTGGGTTGAACTGGAAGTCCTGAGGATATAGGCATGAGGGGCACTTGTGGGATTTGGGAGCCCAAGGAGGCAGTGAAGGGCCAGGATGCCCACTGCTGACTGGGTCCCTCTGCCCACTCTGTAACCGCTGTGCTTGCTGGAGTCTGTTCCCTTGGCTCAGAGCCCTTATGTGTGCTCCTTTTTGTCCCCATAGGAAGCAAGACCCGAGAGGGGGTTGTACAAGGAGTGGCCTCAGGTACCGGCCCAGCTCTGCTCAGCCCTGTATCCTCACCCTGGCCTGGGATCTGGCTGGCCCCCAGAGACTGGGGGGGAGGGGTGGTGGAAAAGGGCACCCCTAAGGCTTCCTGGGGGTGTGCTCCATGGGAAGCCAGGCCCTGGGACACTATGGAGGAGTGTGGCATCTATGCCTGCTTCACCCTGGCCCCCAACCCTCTCCCTGACGCAGTGGCTGAGAAAACCAAGGAGCAGGCATCTCATCTGGGAGGAGCCGTGTTCTCTGGGGCTGGGAATATCGCAGCAGCCACAGGCCTGGTGAAGAAGGAGGAATCTCCCACCGGTATGAAGGTGAGCTATCCTTCCAACACCACACACACACGTGCCAGGCACACCCACAGACCTGCCACCAGCCTCCCCCAGCCAGCCTGGGGCACAAGCCACCTTGCCTCACGTTCTGCAGGGCCCTGCTAGACGCAGCTCAGAATGAGTCTGCATGAAGCTGTGTACGGGCACGGCACTCCCCGTGACTGTGACCCAGATCTGGCTGGATACATGTATCCTGATTGTGAGAGTCATCTGGACCACTTTTGGCCTCATCCACATATGTCACTGATCGTTCACTCATGTCTTTTCAGTCAACAAGTATTCATACCAGAGAGGGATTGCTCTAGGGGTTGCGACAGAATAGGTTCCTACATTCATGGAGCTGACACTGTAGTGGGAGAAGATACAGTAAAAAGCTAACCAGTAAGCAAGATGGTTTCAGACAGAGGTATGTGCTATGAAGAAAAGACAAGGGTGAGGGGATAGACAGTCAAGGGGTGAGGGCGCTACTTTAAGTTGAGAAGGCTTCTCTGAGAAGGTGACCTTAGAGCTGACACCCAAGGGATGAGGCAAGCCATGTGGAAAGTATATTTCAGGCAGTAGGAAGAACACGTGCAAAGGCCCTGAGGCAGGCATGAGCAGAAGTGGGCCATGGGGAGGGGTGAACTGTGTGTCGCACATTTGTGCAGACATGTTACCCCAGGCAAGTGGTGGCGGCTACCCACGTGTGCATGAAGTCAGATACCTCATTAGGACACGCTGTAGGGTGAGAGCTGTGAGCTCTGGAGCCCCACACAGCTGGATCTGAATCCTAACTCCACTACTTTCTGTGTGACCCTGCGCAGGTCCCATCATGTCTCTGAGCCTGATTCTTTGCCTCTAAGATGGGAGATGAGCATAAGAGGACTTTCAGGTAGATTAGAGATAATGTAGCTCAGAGGTTCTCAAAAACTTAAGTGTGCGTTAGATCACCAGGAGGCCAGGTTAAAATACAGACTGTTGGTCCCATCCCTAGAATTTCTGATTCAGTAGGTCTGTGGGGCTCGAGAATTTGCATGTTTAACAGGTACCTGGGTGATGTTGATGCTGCAGGTCCAGGGATCACACTTTGAGAACTACTGATGTAAAAACCCTGAATGGCATAGTGAGTGCTCAGTAAGAGATGATGGCCCCACGATCACATGGTCAGCCTGTGTGCGCCCCCAAGGTGTTGTGTCACCATAGGTGTGCTAGGACAGTGCACTCTGTGGGTCTATATGATGTCTGTAGAGACACACCTCCCATGGGGTGCTCTGTGTTGTCCACATGTAAGTGCAGACTCCGCCTCTGTGGGGGTGGGGCTTTCTTCAGCGTGATCAGGAGATCAGTGTGCATTCAGCATGAGAGTATCCATGCTGAGGAGACCCCACAGCACCCTCCACTCCAGATATTTTGCACAGTTGGTTCCTTCCCCTGTCTGAAAGCTGGGACTTGACTCAGAAGTTCTGGTTCAGGTCCTGTCTCTGCATTTTATCAGCTGTGTGACTTCCCATTTCTTATCCTTATGTTTCCAGTGATTGCTCCCATTCACTGATCTCTTGTGTGGGTAGGCACTGTTCTAGATATTGTACATAGAGTCACTCATTGAATCTTCACAACATCCCTGTAAAGAAGGCATCACAATTAGCCCATTTTACAGATGAAGGAACTGAGGCTCAGAGAGATAAAATGACTTGCCCAAGATCACAAATCCTGACTGCCCCCCCTGAGAAGGTGGTTGGGAGGATAAGCTCAGGTTCATGTCACTGTAGTCCCTTGGTGCCAACATGCGGCCAGGCCCAGCGCTGAGAGCTGGGGTGCAGAGAAGGCAGGTCTGGGCCTGAGCTCTCGGCTCAAGGCTTGGTGGGGGCCTTGCACAGAACCATTTCTCTTACCAGCCTTCCTCTTACCAGCACTTGTTGACACTTCAAGCATCCTCTCTCAAGGGAGCTCAAGATCATAGACTTACAATCCAAAGGCAGGCCTTTGGGGCCACTGGCCCATGGAGAACCCATGCAAGTCGGGGGCGCAAGTTTCTGTCTCAACCTCCCAGTCTGCTCACATACGTTATCATGCAAGCCTCCCCATATGCATACAAAGCAGAGACACCATCCCATTTCCCACCCGAGGCAGCTGAGATCAGAGGTAAAACGACTTACCTAATGCCAAAGAGGTAGTGAATGGCCAGGCTAGGATGGTTTTTAAGTGAACTTTTTATTGAAGTAGAGGATTCATGCAGAAAGCATGCAGCTCCATGGAATTTTCACAAGTTCAACTCTCCCCAAGTAACCAGCACCCAGATCAAGACACAGAACATCAGCCCCTCAGAAACCTCCCTTACACCTCCTCCCAGTCCCGACTCCCGGGGCCAAGACTAGGGTGAGAGAAGTGAGGTATCTGGGGCACAAAATTTAAGGGAGGATGCTTATTCCAGGGTCTCCTTTGCACCCCAGGCGCCTGACTCTCCTCACCTTTGTCCTGGCCCTTTCTCCCCCCACACAGCTAATTGCTTCCTGACTTCTATCACCACAAATAAGTTGGGTGTTTTTCAGCTTCACATAAATGTTATCCTAGAGCACATGCTCTTCTGTACCTGGCTTCTTTCATTCATCGGTAAGCGTGAGAGTCAACCACGCTGTGGTGTGCCCTGTGGTTCCCCATCCTTGGGGTGAAGTAACCACTGTGTGATAGGACGACAGAGCACACATCCATTCTACTGTTGTTGGACATTTGTTTCCCAATAATGTGCAGAGCTGGGATTCTTAATAGTCTGTTTCTTTCCTGGGTTCTGGTCATAGCTGGGTGACTTTGGGCAAACTAACATTTCCCCCTCCTGGGCCTTGATGGACCCACCTGTAACTGGGGAAAGTGAGCCAGGCCAGGAGTGTAAACTCATGTGCCCACAGGGCCCATGACAGGTAATGTGGAGGAGCTGAAGCTGCCTGGGTGGAGCCGGAGCAACTAGAGTGTAGAGGTGCCAGCCCTCCAGGATCCCAAGATTCTCACCTCTGTCCAGTAGGGAGGGACAGTGGTTACATGTGGAAGTGGAGGAGGTGGGGTGCCCCTTGCCTACAGGTTCCCCCACACGTGGCCTTGTGCAGCCGTGCCTGGACCTCAGGTTACTGTGAGTGCCCACGTGTGCAGTCAGCTCAGTCCCATGTTTCTGTACATACATGTGCTCGCCCACAGGGGACTGGCCATGTGTCTGGCAGCCCCCTATTTGCGTGCCTGCTGGTCTGCACGGGTCTGGACAGCAGATGCAGTGGGGAGGGGAGAGTCTTAGCTCACACATCCAAGCAACACCATGAGCTGTCGCTTCCAGCTTATCTTAAAATAGCAACAGCTGAAGAAACCAGGCCACACAGGGCCCTGGGGGAGGGATGGGTGGAAAGTGGCAGGGGAATGGCTCAGAGCCCCTGCTCAGCGCTGTCCCTGAGCCTCCATCTCCCTCCAGGGTTATCTCTGGGGACCTGACACGCACCCCCTCACAGAGCTGACACAAAGAGGGTAGGGATAAATGGGTGACTGAGTGTGCCATCTATCTCCCCATCCCACCCAGTCCATATGATGGAAGCACAGGAGGCTGCCACATGCTGGGGAAAGGGGTATGGAGAGCCCTCTCCCCCTCGCCACCCCCAGCTTCAAGCCATAATTGGAGGAATTTCACTCCTCCATCCCACTTCCAAGGCACACAAATAAACAATTTAATTAAAAATTCTGGTTGCATTGCCAACAAAGCCTAGCCTTCCCCCAATTGGCCAAAAAGCTTCCCAAGGTAGGAATTTGAGGGGCATCCCCAGCTGGCCTCATGGGCACTGTCTCTTCTCTGCCTGCAGCCAGAGGAAGTGGCCCAGGAAGCTGCAGAGGAGCCGCTGATTGAGCCCCTGGTGGAGCCAGAAGGGGAGAGTTATGAGGAACCGCCTCAGGTGAGGGGTGTCAAGGCTGGGTGGGGCTTTGGGCATCCCCAGCTGGGGTGGGAGGTTCCTGGCAGGATAAGGTTAGGCCTGGGAGCTTCAAGCCCCCCTTTTCTAGAACCCAGACACCAGAGGTGGCAGCAGGGAGGGAGGACAGATGGGGCCTAGCACTGGGCGCCAGGCACCCCTGCCCAGAACATCCCAGATGTCCCCAACTTCCAGGTTTCTCTTCTGCCCAGGGAGAGGGACATGCGCTATTCCTCCTTGAGGGGGAGGGGTCTCTGGGCCGGGCCTGGCCACTTGGTCTCCAACCCCTTCCTCTTTTGCTCTTCTCCACTCCACCCCCAACCCTCTGATGCAGGAGGAGTATCGGGAGTATGAGCCAGAGGCGTAAGGGCCCAGGACGGCCCCCCACCAGCAGCACAATCCCTTCCCTGTCCCGTGCCCCGCCCCCCAGAGCCAGGGTTGTCCTTCTACCCCTTCCCCTTAAAACACGAGATCTTCCTTCGCTCTGAGGCGCCCCCTCGGAGCCTGTGTTAGAGTTTGTCTGTCTCACCTGCCCGCGTCCAACCCTGGGGCGTGGACAGGGCCGGGGCTGCGGCCACGGCTGATAGCCTCGCCCCACCTATGTTGCCCCCTCCCCACCCCATCCCATCCCATCCAGTGTCTGCGCGGATGTAGCATGTTCGATGTGTTTTTAAACGAGTCGGAAAGCAACGGCTCCCCTCCACCCCCGACAGAGGCTCTCTGAGGGGCCCCGGGCAGCCCCAGAACCGCCCCCACCCGCATTCCCACATCGACCCCAAGAACCTTTTTTTTTAACCAAAACCAGGAGCCAGGCTGTGCCATGCCCCTCCCCCAGCCGGCCCGGTCCGAGCGCGGGCGTCGTGTGTCGTGATTGTGGCATGGAGAGTCCCCCACCCCCCGTGTGAGCGTGTCCCGGGCGGGCGGGCCCGGCCGCCCCCCGGGTGTCCATGAATAAAGCCAATCTGTCGGTAGCAGGCGCCGAACGGGCAGGGCTGGGCTGGGCTGGGCGCCGGATGGGGACGACCGACAGGGTTCCACGTCCCAGCCTGCCCCACGCCCCTCTTTGGGGCCCGGCACACTCAGCCCAGGTACAAGACTGACCACATCTGGCCTCAGCTCCTACCCGCCCCGCACCCCCGGGGAACGACCTGGATGGAGGGGTTCCCCCCAGGTTGGGCCACGCTGCGGGCTGGGAGGCGGGAAGGCTGCCTCGGGCGCCACCTACTGGACAGTAAAGCTCCCACTGGGCGTGCTGGGCGGAGGGAAGTCCGCTGCAGCCAAGGCGCAGGGCCGACGGGCTCAAGGCGCATGCAGCGCAGGCGCCTCGATGATCACGCACGCGCGGACCAGCGTGCACGCACGCTGGCCGACACGTGCAGACCAGCGCGCGCACTCAGAGTTGCACACGCGCCGCGATGAAGCTCTGGGAAGACAGCAGCGCGGTCACTGGAAGAAGCTGCTTCGCTCAAACCTCTCCCCACGAGAACGCTGATACGCACATACCCCTGCGCACACCTGCTCACCGCAGAAAAACTCATCCCAGGGGAGGGGAAATGGGCAGCTGCCACGGAAAAAAGCAGAGTTCGGGCAACCAGTGCTCCACCCTTCCCGGAAAGGAGTCCGAAAGTTTGCGACCTCGGCTGAGGTGAGCAAGGGTCTGCAGAAATCTGGGAAGCCGACCTGGCGCCTTGAGCGGACGAGTATTGGCACTAGAGGGCCCCCAACACCGCCGCGGTGCAGAGAAGTAGGGGGGCGGAGATGCCGCCTTGCTGTGCAGAGGCCCCGCCTCCATCAAGGCGAAGGCACTGCTCTGATTGGCACAGAAGCTCCCCCGCCCCAACCTGTGGTAGGCCCCGCCCCCGGCGATGCAGTGCTCTTGTTCTCTTTTGCCGCAGCCGCGGGCTAACTTGACTCACCCATGTGGAAGCCCGGCTCTGCTTTGCCGCAATAACCCCCATTCTTGCCTGAGGAAGACCCAGCGCCTTCTCTGCCAGGTCCGACCTCCTTTCCGACTCAAACCTTGCTTCGCCCCTCCATCCCCAAAGGCTGGAAGGAGCTTGCTGTATTCAGTCAACCGCCTGGTGTTTAGCGCCCCCTCCTTCCCTGAGTTGTTCGGGGCGGGGGG